CTTGCGTACTGCATTAACGGATGATGCAGATGATTGGCCGTACCACCTTAAGTGGGTACAAACACAGATGAACGAGTGTGCTGATCCGGTTACAGGAGATACACCCGCTCACTATTTTCGTGGCAGATATAGTGGGTTACAAATCCCCTTTAACAAGGACGAGCCTGATCACCATGAGTCACCATGGTTAGAGAAGGTATAACGTATTTATAACGTTGTATATCCTTGCTTGCGAGAAATACGCAATATAGCCTTATAAAAAAGGCAAAAGCGTCGGAACACTACCAAGAAGATAGCAGAGTATCAGGTCGGTGACAGAGTTAACATCCGGCAACGTAATAACGATGCTACTGTATTAACATCCAAATGGATAGGTTCATATATAATCTCTGTAGTATACGCTAAAAGTGAAACGTACGAGGTAAATAACCCCGATGGTTCTAGTGCACTTAATATAGGCACAAGTCGTATTCCGACTACAGAGATTATACTCGCAATAAGACATGACTCTATTGTCCCTCTTGATCGTTCTGAATTTAAAGACATTATATGGAGAACGGAAAAGAGAGGCTATACATACTATCGTACACGCTTTATAGACGGTACAATAGCTGAGTTGACTTCAGATGATTTGATTATTAAGACTTTTTAAAAGCCTTTAATCGAAAATGGCGTAAACGCCTGCATAAGTCACAAGATGAAAAAGATGGCATATTTCCATCGGCTGAAGGCACGGAAGTTAAACTTACCCGACTACAGCATTTATCCCGAGCTTTAATGCTGATCCTTCGTATGTGCTTAAGACACTGAAGCGTAAGAAATGTCCAGTCGACCACCACGGACCTACTGGACCTAAGCCCTAAACTCACAGGGTAGCCGAGAACGCTTAACTTCTCCGCCTGAGAAACATTAACTATATGTTATTCTACTTAATGTTTTCGACCGTTTTTCCTTTCTCGCTATTTGACCCATAATTAGTTTGAGTGAGTAACTTGCTTCTCATGGGTCTCACAGCTGGGTGGGGGCTTTATAATAGCCGGACCTTCACATTAGACCCTATGTTATAAACGTACTCTTAAGCAGTACGTAAACTATAAACGTACTCTTAATAGTACGAGGAACTTAAGTTTCCTAAATGGTTTTTAATAGTTAATTAATTAATACTTTTTCCATTTTACATATCAGATATTTAGACGAGGCCATTAAAAGCCCCAGTAAAATACCAAACATAAGAGTGGGTCTAGTTCTATTAATATAACTATATTTACTTTCCAAATCTATTTATATCTGAATACTTCGGTAGCGAGATGGCTCAACCGAATATAGGTTTCTAGGGACTATTAACGTTATCGAGTTGATCCTCCGTTCAGCCAACCAGATGTGCCAGTCTGATGAATGCTAAGTCGATAATTCTTGATACGTGGCAAGCTATTGGTTAAGACAATAACCTATGGACATAAAGAGTATTTTTCTTCTTCTAAAGATAGGATTTTATGAGTCTCTCGGATTCGCCCTAACGAAACATACCATAGTTTCTAATAGAGCGACAACGAAACACTAATTAAAATCCCTTCGGCGAAAACAGTAGTGAGAGAATTATATATAGGCAATGTCTCAGCCTCACAATCCCTCAGAGTATTGCTGTTTTCACGAGGCATACCTAACTTACTAAAAGTCTCATTTCATTTATTTACTTTGAAATTTTCACGATGCTTAGAATTAACCTACGCTTTTATTTACTCTAAGGCGGTAATATCGCCTTAATAGACCAAAGCTTACACTTTAATAAGAACAGGTGGAACAAGTTGCAGATGCTCTTCCATGATGCGAGGGATCCGATTTGCTGGGCGTAAATAAGGGTGCGAGAACTTTGAATTGTGGGTGATAACTTATAAGTGTGGAAACTTTCTAATTTGTAAGTTCGGGTTGTTGGCGAACGGCCGCGCAGGCTCAAAAGAAGAGGAGGTTGATGCATGATTGGTGCTTGATGACGATATATGTTGAATGGACTTGTAGGCGCGATATTAAGGAGATACACGATATGATTGGCAGCAAGATTCTCAAGGAAATCCTTCGAAAATAGTATAAATACATGGTTTAGTTCATTAAAGAAGTTTATTCTGTTAAGGTAGACGTTTATTCAACAATCGAGGAAATAAAACCAAGTTCACCGACATATTGCGTTTTGAGTCTATCTAATATTACAGAGTTTACTTTGCTTTTAAGATATAATTAACGTGATTTTAGCCCACTTATTGCAGTTTTTGTATTAATTCTTTGTCGGCCTCAGAGGAGAGGTCGACGTATGTTACACACGAATAGTGTCAAATGTAAAACCATGGGCGAATCCGAAGCAATAGCTAAGACAGAGGAATCCTATATACATGTGTCTAACTGCTAACATATGCCAAGCCCTTAAGACAGACAAGGACCTAACATAAGTGCAACAAATGGGTTGTATCCGCGCTACAATATCTAACATTTAAGTCGAGCGCTTTCAGCTGACAGATAACAAACAAATCGGCAGAAAACAAACACATCTCACAAGTGCCTAAAATCACGCTAATTACATTATATTACCTATTTTTAATCAAATTAAACTCGAAAAAGTAGAAGTATGAGACTGGTAGGGTTAATATTATTTATTTCACAGGAGTTAAGTTACAATGTTTGTACATATGGTATGGCTCTCATAGTCGTTGTAGTGGTTCGGGGAAGATCGATGGGAAGGACCAAGTGAGTCGACAATGGAGGATATGCGCTGGGTCAATTCAGGCCGGTGCTGACAAAAAACTGACACAATCGATTGTGCCACGTATTCGCTTTCTGACCTACTAAATAGCGTACCCACCTCTGTGGTTCGGATCGGGTCATTATCGTGTAGTGCTGTGGAATGGGTTAGACTGGTAGGAAACTGGGCCTGAGGTGGTTAAAATTTTTATTGTCACCAGTGCCGTATAAAGACATTCAGCTTTTGATTTTTTTCTCTATATTTATTGTCAAAAAAAATATTATCTTGTGAACATATCCGTGACTGAGCTCAGTAGCAAATTAAGTTGTCGGTATTTAATTATGTTTATATATTGGTACCGAACTATACTTGACCGGCGTACTAAAATATTAGGATATGTACACAGAATACTACACAAATAAATACAAGTCACAACTTAAAAGGCATATTTAGCACTGGAGCCTGGAGATTTGGACTCTGGAGCAGTGTTTATCAGCCGGGCGCGAGAATGAATAGACATTTTTTGTATTTTTATTATCTTTTTGAAAAAAATTGTAAATAGTGGCCGGAGTCCTTGAGATTTGTCATATTTAGCCTCCTACAATTAACAAAATTTGGGCATATATTTTTATATTTGATTTTTGTTTTTTTTTAAAACAAATGGTTTTCTGTTTTGTATGAAAATCCTGCGACGCTGCCGACGCAGGAATTTCCCTTGACAGTTGGCACTTGGCAGTCGGCACGAGTGATATCTATAAATAGATATTCATTTGTATGAACGATAGAAATATATAAACATATCTATAAATAGATTTCAGGTTCAGGTCAATATACATATAATATAATGCAAACGTGCTGTAGGTTGTGCGGCATTCAGATTTCATACGGCCAGCTGTTAAGGTTAATGATATACTAAGGTAAATATACGTACATGTGTGTATGCGCGTATGACGAAGCAAAGAACCTGCACTGTGCCTCGAGCAGTATGTACGTTCCAACACATTTGACAGACTCCGGTAGACACCTTAAATTAGCGATGCCCTATTTTAGGCATCCACATGCGCGGCGCTCCATGTTGTAGCTGTCCGATACTCTAGTTTGATTGCAACCTACGGTTGCATGTAGCCACTCTGAAAGCAAGTTTGTGCTTAGCTTCCTCATTTTAGTATCTTACCAAACTGTTTTTTCTCAGCTCATAATTACCGGTGACATTGTCTTGCGTCGCCCACATATGTGCGTGAATGCCCACCGCACACTCGAGTGTTTCACTTCACATTCTCGTCAGATTAACCCCAATGGGTAGATAGTCACACACGACATCGGTTGCTATGCACCGTGGTATGATCTACATATATTGCACCTCACGTCTGTGGGCGCTAAAAACTGCGCTGTCTTCAGCACGCAAGACTATCAATACGTTTCCCTTATTAGTTGAGCATATGGGCCGATACCGCTTGCTCATGGCAAACGGAAAACACACACCGATGCGCAGACCATTAGTCGCAAGCACGAATGTGCGTGTCTATATCGCACATTCATACTGGCTACGTGGTTCGAGGGAGGTTGCTATGACTGCACATCCGCAATACGTTGTAGTTCCGTATTGTGTACGTATCATGACCATCAATTACATACAAAATGATAGGTAGAATGCTATGTGCAGTTATGTCCGCTTTCCTGAGTGGGATGCGAGCCCAACAGAGGTGAATTTTGCGGACGTTAACTGTCGGAGTGTAGTGAAGTATCGATCTATAGTTTGTAATACGAAAAACGAGTTTACGACTGACAGCACATTCATGCGATTTCACAGATACATTCTACTACATTCTACACACGCACACGCACACACACACACACACACACATATATATATATATTATTATTATATATATATATATATATATATATATTGTGGTGAATACACTAGAAATATTCGCGAATAATGACCTTACTTGCGTCCGCAAGCCCCTCGCTACCGGTTTGCTGTTCACACAGTGTGATCCAAATTCTCACCATCTTAGCACAAATGTGCTTTGATATTGTGCTTTGGAACCCATTCCAAAGCATAATGTTATAATCACACACAGGTCAAAGTACTCGGACATCTAACACAAATGTACACGTATGGATTTACGAGAACGTGCACCTTCACCCACGCCGTACAACCAACTGTCTTTTCCGTTTATTCCCACATCAGATGCACACCGAGTTAGTTTGGTGGCTTTAAACGGGATTGAGAAGTTCGAGTACCTTTATAAGATATCAGGCGCAGTCACACCATAGCAAGACGAATAGCGTGGCATAGATAGCATACACTTTCCTCACCACACTATCACGATGGCGTCGATAGGAGACGATTGTCGATACTACTTCTTCACAAAGTCATGTCCCAAGGTAAGCCCTACGGGTGTTGTAACTTCTACTGTTATATGTCCTTGATTTTAGGGTGTGGAGTGTGATGTGAGTGTATTGTGCTTTTGGTGTGTGGTGAGTCTGTGAATGTAATTTTTTTTTGGTGTGGTGTGAGTGTGGTGTGAATGTATTGTTTTTTGGTGTGTGGTGAATTTGTTGTTAATGTATTGTTTTTTTTGGTGAGTGTGCTGTGAAAGTATTGTTCTTTTGGTGTGTGGTGAGTGTGCTGTTAATGTATTGTGCTTTTCGTGTGGGGAGTATGCTGTGAATGTACTGTTCTTTTGGTGTGTGGTGAGTGTGCTGTTAATGTATTGTGCTTTTCGTGTGGGGAGTATGCTGTGAATGTACT